TCAGGTTACAACCATATATCAGTTCATATTGTTCCCGCATGCTGTTTCTGTTGATAGTGAGCTCCGTTTGAAACGAACATCATCTTGTACTCTTTTTATTCTGAGGAGCCGAGGTTGTAAGGAGGGCGATACAGGGAAAAATTCCTGTGTTTTCAGGTAACTCTACTTAGGCAAAAGTTTGTGTAAAAGTTTCTTTAACTGTCTTGAAAATGCAAACAACAAAGCCATTGGGCAAGAAAATGGTTTTGAAAGAGATTGCATCTGGTTTTGATACAGTTGGATCTCTATGGGCATCATGGTCTTGCTTTTTCAAACATCTGTTTTAAAATGTATGTGATGCTGAAACTAATATTGTCACTAATAATTCCAAATTATGAGTGTTTATTACCGTCAGTGCATTGTGATAGTCTATGACTTGATTTTAATGTCATTCAAAGAGACTCACAGAAGAGGGATCATCCTGGGTCAAAGGCACAGGCTTCCTTTGAGATTCTGTTTTTTCCCCACCTTCAGGTTGTGATAGCGTTATTTTTCTGGTTCTCCAGCCTATTGCGAATGAGTTAAGGCATGTGAGGCGCTCAGAGTAATAATCTGTGTTTTATGGAAACCTGTCCAGTAAGTATTATTGCAGATGACAGACTCAAAGGACATTCAGGTGAAAACATACATCCTGTTCCTATATTCCGAGGCTCTAGAAGAATAACTCCTGCCTGCTACGAAGTCCAGCTGGTCAGAGCTAAAAGTCTGACTATGATAGATAGGGAAGTGTCTTTTTAATAGTGGATGCTCAATAGCAAATTGCTTGTACTTTTTTGAGTGTGACTTAACTGTTTGTTTTTTGGTTTTTGGTTTTTTTTACTTCATGCAGGCAGAGTTGGCTTGTATCCAAAGGATAGCTTTTGGAATATTCCCTTGCTGAAAGTAGCCCAGTCATCCTACAGCTCTGCATCTGGCATAATTTCAGACAGGGTCTTCTCTAGAAAAAATAAAAAAACCTTCAAATTTACAGGAATATAAATGTATTCAGTAGAAAGAAAACCATACTGTACTCCTCTGTGACTGATTGGCTTTCATGTAAGGTAGTTTTGAGAAGTCTTGGAAACTACAACAATTTTACCGTAAGGCTGTGCTTGCCAAATAGTTATAGCTTTATCTCTCAGAGGCAGGGCAGGGGGGAACAAACAACATACCAAACAAAAAAGAGGATCGGGGTTTTCTGAAAACCATGAGTGATTAATGTTTAGTTGGCAAAATGTCAATACCTCTTTAATAACAATACTGTGATTAAGGCTTTAAGAAACAAATATCCTCTTTTCTAAAAGTACAGCTCTTTATCACTTCATCTAAGGCATGTCATCCTTCTTCTCTGGAAGCTGTCACTTTAAAGTGTAGTGCCTGTGGGAGTGATTAATGCCTCTGATGTATTTTTAATCTTCATGGTACTTGCAATTAATCCTTGCAAAAACGCTACGATAAAAATGATCGTTCTCATTATTTTATGGAAGGGATGCAGAGGGGAAAAAACATCCCAGAAGAGGTAGAGTCAAAATAGGACTACACCTTTCTCCTACAGGCCATTAAACCAGGCTTTCATGTGTCTCGGAACAATCCAGATATTCTGATCTCTCCCCTAATGGTAACTTATTATCACCTTAATCAGTCATTGGGTGAGCTTTACAAATAGTCTTTGAGACAATAAGCAAAACCTGTATTTCTTCTCTCTTGTAGGTGAGCGTCTCAATTGTTTGGTTACAAGTCATGTTTCTGTCTGTCTAGTCCAATTCATCATGAATTCTTCCCTTGCACAGAGTTTCAGTAGATGGCAGGAAGAGTCTCTGTCCATGAATGCTCTTTACCTGGATGAATAGGAAGTTCTTTGTAGAGTACTACTGTGTGTGCCTGTGGGGGGTGAGCGTGTTAAATCTCTAAGGTTTAAGAATTGGCATAGGAATATTATCCTGAAAAGAATACCTCTTGGCTTAAAAGATTTGGCTTTAGAGTTAGAAATTTTTTTAGTTGTATTTTTTTAAGACTGACTTTTACAGTGAGGTGCTCAGCTATGTTAGTGTTTGCTCAAATTGGGTCCATTAGGAGTATGATGCTTTTGAAAACTGGGTTGATGGGTAGTGCCTGATTCATGACCTTGCTGGTATGGAAGCTTTTTTAACCATCCGCATTTCTGCAGCTTTTGGTGCCTGAACTTGGTGCACCTGTCAAGGGGCTTTATGGTGCCTGTGAGGGTTTTTGTCTTGGATTTAGGCTTGTAATTCTGCATCATTCATCATTCTCTGGATTTGGGCCCACTTGCCTTAATATGTTTCCATCATCCTTGCCCGAATGTCAGACTGGCCTTGGCATAACCTTTAGGGCAAGGAAGGGACAAGTCAAGTAAATCCCCTGTAAGCCATAGTCATACTGGTGGTTCTGGAGCTGTGTAAGCCATTATATAAACAATTGTGGTGTGCATTTAGAAAAAAAACCAACAAAACCTTAATTCCACTGTAGTGCAAAACCTTACCTCTGATTCCTGCAGCCTTGATGTAAGCTGTACGTGAACACGGAGTAGCCAAAGAGGAGATCCTTAGCATTGTGCATTCAGAATCCTTTCTGAGGGCGGTATGTTAAAGCAAGTTTCTGCAGCACCTCTCTGCATGCGAGAGAGAGTTCAGGGTTCTTCAAATCCCTGCGTATGGTATTTCCTATGTGGTTCATTTTACCGTTTCGTTCTCTTTTTGCAGTGGTACAAAAATACGCTTCCTAGAAGTTTAATGGAAGGTCGTGTACTCCTCCAGAACTGGGATATCGAGCACAGTGTTTCCGGAAGTACACGAATGCCTTTCTGAGCTCCCCTTCCCTGCTGTGGACACTGAGCACGCACAATTAACGCGTTTGCTTGAGGAAGCCAGTTTCTTGTATGCAATGTAGCTGCACTGTCTTTGCAACAAAACTGGCAGGGTGGTATTTGTGGTGCAGCTGGCGACTCATTTTTTTCATCAATTCCTGCTTCACCAACTGAGCCCAGATGTTTCCTGCCACTGCGTAAACAATACATTACATTATTTGTGCGGGTTTCTGTAGCCCAGAAAATTATCTGATTGTAAGTATAGCTGAGTAATGTATAACTTGGGAATTCTGTACCTGTAGTTGCCAGATGATCATCATTCACTGCAAAAAAAAAAAGAAGAGTTTTTCCATTAATGTTATCATAAGTAATTCTAAAATCCTAGCCAGACGGTAAATAACTTGAATTTAACTTAGTGCTCAACACTGTATCCCTTTTTCCCACAGAGATTTTACTTTGTCTAATTAACATAAAATCCACAGTGGTTTTTAAGTTCAGTTGGATTTTATTGATCATCTGTTCTAATATAAAGCTTCCTTACTTTTCCCCAGAAGACGACAGAGGTTTTATGATACCACCACAGATATCACAGTGCCCTCCTGCAGTTTGTTTGATAGTCTGTCATGGATTCGAGTTACTCTTTGAGTTACTCAGCAGTGAAAAACAGTTCAGTAGCTTTGTCCTCCCCTAAAGGGTGGAACAGCGAGTGCATTACTGCATCCTCACTCGTGTCCTCCCTGCTCCTCTTTCCTGGGTGTGTTTCCTTTCTTCTCTTGCCTAGAAAGTGCCTGTGACTGTAGCAGCATTTTTTGTTTTCTTGTTTCTGTAACACCTCATCGTCTGCTTGAGATCAATAAGTAATAATCATGAAAACGTACGTGCAAAGCCTGAATCTAGGCAAAATACTCCATTAGCTGCTACGTGAGACCTGAAGTGCGGCTTACAAAAACTGAGGACGCTTCAGAAGCTTTCTGTACGTATGTTAATACTGTATATAGGCTACTCCTCATTCTTGAGATGTAGTGTAATTTGGATCCTTAGGTTGAGCCTTGTCTCTTACAGAGCAATTGCAGGATGATTTTCTGGTGATATTCTGGGTATGTTTCCGGTGTTGCTTATCGTTGCAGAGTCCCTTGCGTAACTGTCCCGTATTAACCTTGTTTGTCTTGACGATCTGAAGTTGTCAACTCTGTGGTGTCGCCTGGTTTATGGCTTCTCATTTTTTCACTTTAAACTACATTCTGTGTCCTAGTTGCAAGTTAAAAGGAAAATCAGTGTTCTGATAGTCCTTGTGTAATCACTTCTGAAACTGTTCAGGGTTGTTTTTTCCTAGTAGAAAATAAATTGGGCAGATGACTCTTTTATGAACACAGAGAAACAGCTGATACATGTTTGCTGTGCTGTTTCATACTGCGGTTTGTCTTCCTCAAAACATTTTTCCATACAAAGAGCGTAATAAATGATCTTTGTTTGCTTAGTGAGGCATTTGGTTACATTGCTTAGGTACCTTTTGTGTCTGCATCACAATATATGCATATCAAGAGAGAGAATTCACATGCACACAAGCACTTGCTACCTTCAATGCAGGACTGTTGTGACACCTCTTTGGATGGGTTCAGCTATCGCCTGGCGTGGCCAGTCTTTTTACTCTTGTCAGTCTGCAGTTTCCAGTTCATGTGGTTCAGGTCTACAGGACTCCTTTCTTGCTCTTGCCATTTTTTTCAATATCCCTAAAAAACAAGTCCAGAGCTCTGGTTTGTTTAATCTGTGTGCAGTGTCAAATTATAGTTCAGAGAATTCTTGTATATTTAGTATATGTAATATAGTGTGGGTATAATGATCAGATGAGTATATCTGCTGATGTACTGGTCACATAATTCCAGGTGTGCACTGGAATAGTCTAGTCCTTTTTTATTGAATTACTGTATTTTTCTACTTTTTTTTATAGTCTCATGTAATTTCATCAGAATTCCTCCCATACTCTTAAACTGTGTTCTAGTCACTTGGGGGGTGTGTGTGTATTATGTATGCAACTTATTTAGATAATTTGTGATTAACATACTTAATATTGTTTTAAATTCCTTCTGGTGATGATAGGAAAAAATGATCTCATGTACTGTTACATGACAATAACGTTCTCTCTTGTCTTATTTTCCAGCTGTATGGGGAAACTTTGTCAATATGAGGTAACGTATATAATGTTTGTATTGAATGCCCTTATCTGAAATAAAATTAACTTACCTTTCCCATCAAAATGTATCACTGTATATCAAGTAGGGAGAAAATAGAACAGCAGCTCACACTGTTGTTTGGATGGTTGCCAAGCAGCTGATACTATTTTTTAAGTACAAGGTAGAATAGAATCATTTAGGATGGAAAAGACCTTTAAGATCAGCAAGTCCAACTGTTAACGTAGCACTGCCAAGTACATCACTAAACCATGTCCTTAAGCACCACATCTACACATCTTTTAAATACCTCCAGGGATGGAGACTCAGCCACTTCCCTGGGCAGTCAGGTGTTCAGTCTCAAACAGGGTTGTATGTCTGCTGCAAATCTCGCTCAGGATCTTACTCTCACTTCAACATCTGCCTTTTTTTTTTTTTTTTTTCTTTCTTTTAACACAAATTCGTCTTCTGATTTTGGAGATGTTTTCAGGCAAGTTCGTTGGCATAGCTGGGCACATAAGCTTGGATTCTGCTTTTCCTCAGCACAGATCCGACCATATCTTAGCGACAATACGGGCTTAAACATTGAAGAGCAGCAGATCCTCCACTGCTTGCCGTAATTATGTTTCCATACCTAGAATTACAAATGTGGTTTTGAGGGTTTTTTCTCCTTCACGATTAATTGGGAGAGAATCTGATGGTTTAACTGCTGAAAAGCAAAAAAAATCCTCCACTGTCCCCCAGAATTTCTGCCCTTAGAAATAGGAAGGCATAGCATACGCATGCAAAACACACAGATTTTCACAACATTTCTGCTTGCATGTGAGTGTTTGTCCTCTGGGAAAATTCCCCAGGAAGACACAACTGAAGAAGAGGAGAATATGGGGCAGTCTGTTCCCTACAACAAAGTCTTTGTGCATAGAGGACAAAATATTTCGCCATGTTGTTTTGCTAGTAAAGGGTTTTGGTACTCTGTTGCTATGCTTAGCAGCACAGAGTAAAGAAAGTTTGAGGCAAAGTAAGAAAATTAATGAATTTTCTGTGGGCTCTGATTCACCCAGGACAGCTTACCCTGGGATCTGTTCCTGTCCCAAGCTGTCCACTTTTCTTCTCTTGGAGTTTCCCACCCTTGCTGCAAAGTGTTCAGCTGTTAGGCAAACAGCTGCTGAGCTGCTGCGGCTTGCAGGTGGAGATATCATTTAGATTACCATGTTATCGTGACCAGCACGCTATGGCAGCTTAGCAGCTGTTACATGAGCAGCTGAGCATTTCCAAAGGAAGGACAGGAACCTCAGAGAGGGGTTCGAGGAGGGTAGGTGGGCATGGGATCCAGTGTGTTTGTTCCCTGATAAGCTGTCCTTACAAATTCTACCATTAGCTGCATCTGACTTCTTATATGAGGTGTCCATTATAGATCTATCGAGGGGGAAAACTTTATTTCTGGTCCTCAGCCAATAAGATTGTCTTTGTTAGGAGAAAGAGCTCATTAAAAAACTAAACTGCAGAGTGCCAGTCCTTAAGTTCCAGGATTTGTGAATAAACAATACTAGGAACGATTTTTGAGGGAACCTTTTTATATTCTGAGAGGTTTTCCAAATTTTCCTTGCTCATTTAGCAGAGAGGAAAGGCTATGTATTCCACAGATTGTTTGCATAGCTTTTTGTAAATTTCTGTTATTTGGGAAAACATTTGAAAAATTCAAAAGAATTACTTAATATTGCTTCCTTGTAGTAAATTCATACTATGCTAACTGGAGGGTTTTTATCTGCCACTATTACAATAAATTACAATTTGTTTTGAAAAGATGGTTGAGGGTCTGTGCGTCTTAGTCTAGGAATTTAGTGCACTCTTTACTGCTACAAAAAAATGAATCTGGTCAATAAGTTTTTTGCCTCGGTAAGAGACTGAACTGACTTTTTAGTAAGAGAGTTTTACAGAAAGGAATCACTGCTCTAACTTCTAACAGTGTGGCATATGTATATCTGCTTAACAAAGGACCTTCTGTTTCCCTAGGTGTAATGACTTCAGGTCCCAAGTAAAGGAGCTCTGTTTTATTTGAAAGAACTCCATTTTATTTTGGATACCCATGAATCCTCTAGAATGCAAAAACTTACTACTGTAAGATAAATAATTCCCCTTTCAGAAGGTTTAATTGAGGAAAAAAAAAAGAATTATGCAAACTTAAGGAAAATTGCATAGAGTAGATATAAGAGGTAAAATTTAAAAATACGTATTCTACACTTGTAGAAGTTTACTCAAAGGATGAACACAACTGATTGAGATGCTTTATACAATTACATGCTAAATAAGACCACACAGATTTGTGCAAGGCACCAACTTAGACAGTACTCTCTTTTCACAAGTTACCTTGACACCCTTCAGTGTATAAGCTTGGCTTCATTTCAAACAAGTAGCATTTGTGTGCTAAGTCAGTGTTGCCCATCAGATGGTCACTTACAACAAGTTTTGGTATAGCTTTTTTTTTTTTCCCCTTGTTTTTGTAAAAGTTCAAAGTCAAAGCTAGACATGTTTGCCCTTCTCTCTTTTTTATTGAAATTATGGTTATAGTTGTGGCATTAAAAGGAAATGTTTTGGTAGCATACAGTAAACAGAGACCCTCAAAAAAACATCTTAGGTATTTGCATAGTAAAGCTACACTCAAAAACATTTCTGCTGACCCTACCTTACTGCAGTGATTAGACACTTTTCTACAATGAAGTTAATTTTCTCTGTGAAATGAATGTCATCTTTATTGTTATTACTGTCCTGTGCGCTTGGTTCAGTGTCTGCCAAACTTGGTGACAAGACTAGCTGATTTCAATGGGAATTGGACCATCCGCTTTCATTTGCTCTGAGTATGTCTTTGAAATAATACTAACTTGGGGTGCTTTGAAGATACTGTTTTAACAGGAAAAGCATGATGCAGGTGCAGTGGAGCAACTATCGCTTAGGTATGGATTATGTTTTTTCTTTTCTTGCCAACAGGTCTCTTCAAGAATATGGAGATCAGAAGGTGGAAAGTAAAATAGAGGAGGTTAGTTTGCTGATAGTTGTAGTCTGTTTTCTTTTGAGGGCTCCATTTCACTCATTTGATATTGAAAAGGTGTATTTAGTTCTCATTTCTCTTCGTTCCACTAAAACCATTCAAAGCATTGGATTTGTGTCTGTACATAAGTTTTTGAACTGTCATTCACTGTAGTGGAGTTTCCAACATAGGTCTGTGACTCTTTATTTTTTTCCGCTAAACCTTTCTTGAAAGTGATAGCTCTACTGTCTCATTTGCTGCAGAGGCTGTGGTAGAGTCCTCCTGAGAACAGTTTTTTTTATTACTGAATGAAGGATGTACACAAATTCTTTCCTCTGTTGCCCTTACAAAATGTTAAGTATATAAAAGTGTCATTAGAAGTTTGAAACCTCCCAAAAATGTTTTTGTTTTGTTCTTAACTAATGAACAAAGGTAGCAGTGTGTTTGGTCAGGGATAGTGTGCAGTACCACAGCTTTAAGCACAAGTCCTGGCAATTTCTGGAGTAGACATGGGTATTGAACACACCAGTGGTTCTAACCCTCTGGACCAGTACCTCTGAATTTCCATTTCAACCTCAGTTTGTTGTGAAATATTAAGAATGTGTGCAACACATCTTTCTCTGGATGTTTTTAGACTTCCAGTCTAACAACAATAAAACAAAGAATTTCATAGATACAAAAGTCTTTGAGGTCAATACATCCTACCCCTTGTGTGGGTGTTTGTGACTGTACCAGTGTAGTCTGGTCTGCCTAGTGTCTTGTATTCCAACAGGTTTATATAGCAATTGTTCCTCTGGACACAGCGAGAAGCCCACTGAAATTGCTTAAAAATCAATGGAAGGATTGTGTTCTTAGTTTGTCTTTTGCATTCCTCTCTCTCTTTTTTTTTTTTTTCTTTTTTTTAAAGTCCTGGTAAACATTGCAACAAGCATTCTGAAAATCCCAGTTGTTTAAGAATGGTAAAATGCTTGAAATTCAATGGGTAGATCAGAGTTACTGTAAGGTCTAAGAAGTTGAGCACTTCTGGATCTTGTTTTTAAAGATTTACTTATCTGGAACCATCAGAATAAGTATAACTGTTTCAAGAACTATTTACTGCTCCATGGAGCTAGATATTTAATGAATATAAATGACAATACTGTATCTCCTCTATACATGATTATGTAGCTTATTTCAGTTCATGAAGTTCCTGAATTGTTTAGCTCTAACCAGCAATATTTGTACAAAGCAAATTAATGGTGGTTGGTGATGCGTTGCTATATAGTACCATTTCAAGTGATAACTCTCTGATAGCTTTCAACTTATGTATGGTCCTAGATGGTAAATTTTGTGACAAGGTTTTAGTAAACTTAAAAACAAGAGTTCAGGGACTTGTTGAAATTTGGCAGGACTGTTAGAAGTTTGGGTCCTGTAATAAACAACCTGAAACTGATGCCGATTTAAGTGATTCTGTCTTTCAAAGCAGTGAAAATGCAAACAGAAATCTTGGTAGGTGAACTGTATTTTCTAACAAATTTCCTTTTAATATTTTTTAAAAGCCTAGATATACCCTCAAATCATGATGTAAAACATATCTTAGATTTTTAAACATGATGTTTCTTTAAATTCGCCTACTATGTTCTGAGAGAATTATAGCCTTTGCACTGGAACTGATGCCTCTGTGTCTTTGTACTCTTAAGTATGTGTATCTGCTGTCCATTTAAATAGTTGAGGCTTTACTGACTGTCCTATTGTGTTGTTGCTCAATATAGATTGCCTTTGACAACCTCAGACAAGTCACTTGTGACTTCACTTTGCCAAACAGGAATCATAACATTGGATGTTCTTATCCACAAAGCTATGGTACTCAGAGCCTTGAGGTGTTTTGTTTTCAGTGGTAAGCTAAGGGATTTCACACTGTACTAAGTGGTTTGATTTTTTGGTGAAAAATGTTCAAGGATTTTTTGACATAAAGAATGCTTTAAGGTGCAAGTTTCTTGGAGGGTCTTCAGTGAAGCTCTTAATAGGAGACTGCCATGATTTGTGCTCCAAAGTAACTTCCTACATACAGGTTTTGTGATGTGAATCTTGTTCTAATCTTCAAAGATTAAATATTATTCCTTTATTTTAGGCTGTTGCACCTCTAAGGGAGAAAATCAAAGACCTAGAAAAAAGGTACGTCTCTTTTGCTAAATTTGGGAAGCAGTTAAAAAGCACGATTTCTGTTCTGTAGCAGTGAATTCCGTAGTTGTAGGCTTGAGAGAAATGTTTTGCGTATACCCTCAGTACCTTTGGATTTTTGTCATATCTAAGTGAGGATGGGGCCTTGAGTGCTGGAAGACATTAATGCTTAAGGTATTCAGGTTGATTAATCCCACTGAAGTAAACTGGGAGTGCTGGATTTTTGTAAAGTTCAAATCCTGTGGAGGAATTTGCTGGTTTGAGTCCAGTTGGTGAACGGATTACCATGGTTTAGTAAGTTCAACGCAGGTGTGTGCTAAAACATATTGGTTTCAACTTCAAGAGACTGAAAATCTATTTTACCTCACATTTCCCACACTTGTGATCAGTTACCACGGTTCAGCTAATGTACAGTGATCTGCTTGTGACTCATAGTCTGTGCGTGTGCTTTGGATGAGCCTGACTGACTTGCTTCCCTCAGGATTTGTAAGGGAATGTGATATCTTGGATTAAACTGGATGATGCAGTTGAGGAAAAGCGGACGAGCTTTTTGATGAGCTGCAGATACTAAATATATGCTGTAGTGCCGCAAGCACCTTAAATTGACATAGTTGTTAAAAAAAAAAACAAAAATCCAAGCCTGATCCATTTCTCCCTGGCTGCTTGCGTCCACACTGCAACGTCGTTTCCTCACTCTTGTGCCAGCAGAACCACTCGAGTGCTGATAGTAAGCTGGATGGGGAAACCAGGCATTTCAATCTCTCTTTGCAAAATAACTCCCTCGCTCCCCAGCCTGGTTGCCTTTCCACTAGATCAGTTCTTCCGTCTGAGTGCCCTCATGGGCAGATGCTTTTCATCACAAAATAAGGTCTGGAATATGTGTGGGAATTGTCAGCTCTGACAGGGACAGTGCTGCTTTTGACAGTAATACTGTTTCACAGGTGGCACTGTCGATGTCCCAAGCAAACCACTAGCTGAGAATGCTGCATTACAGAGGGTCAAGTCTGGACTTACCCAAGCAGTACCAGTAAGCCTGGATGGTTATATACGGCATACTGGTGGTTGTGTGCTGTTTCTCAGGAGAGGGGGGCAGAATCCCATTGCTCTTGGCCAGAGGTATGCTTGACACCTGCAGTGTTTTGATTTTTGTCTTGCCAGTGAGCAGTTGCCCCTCCTCCTCCCACCCTTCCTGTGCTGTGTTAAAAAAAAAAAAAAAAAAAAAAGAAAAGAAAAAATGTTGTCAGTTCTATTTTTTTTACAATTGATTTGAAAGATTCGGTGACCTGCGACATGCAATTTATTTCAGTGAGAATACTGATCTGATTGCTCATCTCTTAATATAAGTGTGAGCTTCATGGATCAAACTAGGCGATGTATTGGCAACATGAAACAAATTGCAGACTGCATCACCTGTAGCAGTTGTATGTGATACTACCATACCAATTATAACGGTCAAATTATAGAGTAAAGATTTTATGTTCATATGAAATTTTTTATGTCCTGCCTCTATTCAATGGACTTATTCAATCTTTATAGGTAGCCCAGTATATCTTCAGCTGCAGTTGTTGGCAGTTCAGGTATTTCCTTCTGCCATTCACAGAGGACCTTTGTGGGAGGGTATCCTGATTGGCGCTCTTTTTTTTTTTTTTTTTTTTTTTTTTTTTTTTTTTTTTTTTTTTGTAATTGTTATATTTTTCCAAATGAGCAATGAGTTGTTGGGTGGAACCATTAAGTTAAAACTTCTCACAGGAGCCATCTAAATGCTCTTTTCTTTTTGAGTAGTGTTTGCAGTGTATTGGTGAGTCTTGTTTCAAATATTTAGCAATGAGGAGAAAGAATCAAAATATTTTTTTTACCTCTGTATGAGCCAATCTGGGAATTATACTTTCACAGAATGTGGGCTTATGGGCTCTTATGGCCCATATCAAAATATGGGCTCTTGCTGTTGTTGGGTTTTTCAAATATTGTAGCCATTTACCTCTGCTGGTTCAACTGCATGTGGGTTGTTGCAATTTATAATTTTTGAATTTTATATCTATGTGAAGTGACAGTAAAGAACTACTCACTGTTAGACACCTGAAGACTGATCCTGCTTGCAAAGCTTACTCTCTAGTGCCGATGGGTTTTTTTACCTCATAAGCTGATAAAACGTGAAAGCAAGCCATCGTCCTGCTTTTGGGAAGCAGGAAAGACAAGAATTCCTTAATGCTAGTCTCATGACAAGAGATTGTTTAACTGAAGCTAAAGTTGGAAAGTTTTTATTACTAATTTGCACAGCAAAAGCATTGCCGTGTAGTCATCAAAGCAAGCATTAGGTCAAGATAAACTCAACATTGTTGCCAAAAGATGAACATTCAGCTGGATCAGTTCCAGACTCCTGCCCACGGCCTGTAAGCTAGTACTGGTGTAATGGAAGGAGCAAAAATGGTTGGGAGATCCCTTTGGCAGCAGTATTACTCCATGCTGGATTAAAGTGACCTTAAAATAGTGGTCTTAAAAATGGAGGAGACTGACTTTTACCTTGCATCAAGTTATTTGGCACTTCACTTTTTTTTAAACTCCATAAGCCTTTTGTTGTTATTGGTGGATTTGCCTTTCTTTCACAGGAAGGCTGTGTTTTATGTGTCTGTGTTATACTTAAGTACTGCTGTTTCTCATTACTTCTCATCTTAAATCAAAGAAATAGTGTTACTGTTAGTGACCCGTGTGGTGATATATGGCAAGTGTAGGTAGCTTCTTATTTCAGGTTCCCTGTATGGGTAACATTGGAATATTCCGCTGCCGTATTTCCCGCATCCAGGAAACTGAAAATGGCTTTCACTCTGGGATGAAAAGTTGACGCGAGTACAGAAGCATCTGTGCTTTGCTTCTGAAGAATTCCTGTTGAGCCAGTACTGCAGGCTAGAAGCAGAGGGGGTGCTTCAGGATCAGAGGTGTAGGGTCAGGTCGGTTAGAGTGTATCTGTGAGTAGATGAAAATGTAGTCTCAGTGTGAAGTTTTGGCATGTATACCTCCTGCATGCTACATCCAATTGCATCTCTAGCACGTGCACTTACTGGAGGAGAAGAGTAACCATAGTTTGATTTCTGTCCAGCATCACACTGATATTTAGTTAAGAAAAACCTGAGCTATTAAAATACTGCCAAGACTACAATGCTAATTGCTGAAATAAATCAATAAAATAAAATTCACACTTTTTTTCACACCTTCCTTTGGAGGAACTTTTTGCTGTATGCAGAATGCATGCCAGTGGGGGGAGAAAGAAGTGATATAATTCCATGTCCGTGACATCATCTAAGGTTCTGAGCATCAATTTTAAGCTTGAGAGAGCACCTAAGCTTCATATGTCACACAGTTTTATTTTAGGATGGTTTAGTTTTGATTAAGTTCCTGTAAAGAAGAAGGTGCAAAAAAAAATTTAAGTGGATGTAGCTTGAAGACCATCAAAACAGTGGCAGTCTAGCTATTTCTGAGAAGAAAATTAGAATTAGCTTTCATACTGAGTAAGCTCTCTGGTAAATATTGTTGAAGAATCTTAAAAAAAGTTTCTTCAACATTCTGATTGTAAACTTTGCATTGATTATTGTGAAACTTTAAGGAGAATTAAAACTTTATATTGTAACATCACATTGAAACTTCAAGGAGAAATGTTTGAAGTCAATGTGATGTCAAAACAACTTGCTTTCTTTACCAGAACTTTTAAGAAGGTTGCTTGCTTTTTAAAACATTAAAAAAAAAAAAAAGTCCAATTACTCCTTGTGTTTTATTGTTTTATTCTCTTGTGATGCCATGCCTGACACCAGTTCTGGTCTCAAAAGACAGAAGTCAAGTGATTCATTCTAGAAAATCAGTTAAGCAGAAATTTTAAAAGCACGTTTTGCAGATCAATTTTGATATTTCTCACTGTGCTTTTACAAAGCATAGGCATTTTCTCATGTTGGCCCAGATCCTTCTTTAGAAAAAAGGACTAAGCATACATGTAGCAGAACTTTAAGAATGGGAGGTTGTCAGAGTAGTTTTTCGTATTTCAAAGTCAGATATGTGAAAGAAGAAGCAAGGCTGAAACTTACATCGTTTTTCTTCTTTGTTTTGAAATATTCATAGTTTCACGCAGAAATACCCACCAGTGAAATTTTTATCAGAAAAGGATCGTAAAAGAATCCTGGTAAGTTGGTATTTACTATGGGGTTGTTTTGGGGAAATTAAAAAAAAAAAAAAAATCTGTGGAATGTAATCAGTCTTGTAGGATTAATTAAAGACATGAGCAGGAATAAAGTAAATTACCTTGTATGTCATATGTGCTGCGCAGGGTTTAGAGTAGTACTTCACTTACTCTGTGTTGATGTTCTCAAACTCAGCATATAGATAATACACTTGGGCTCTGGTTTGGAGGTTTGACTTGCCAGTTGAGCTGCTGTTCTCTGCTTGTAACATCTCGGGACTGCGTTGCCAAAGGGTCTTTCATCTTGTGCTCCCAGATGGCTTAAAGTAGCAGAGACTGGGAAACTTTTTAGGCACATCTTGACAGAAAGCTTGTGTGACTGAATTGGACAAAATCTAGTCATAAGGCTAGGAAAGTAGCTGCTCTGCAGCACTGTTAAGAAGGACCAGTTAATTAGACTGAGGGAATGTTCATCTCTCTGTTATCTTCTGTGTCGTTTCTGATATTTTGAAGCATTGCAGGTGTTTTAGGATGGAAGAGGAAAGCAGGTTAAGTCAGGACAAGTAGTCATCCAAGGCATTCTTAAACTCAGCAAACTGTGCTGCAACAGCAGTTTTGTCTACAAATATTTTTGAAGTTAGCTGTGTCCAAATTTTTTTTCTTGTTTCTGTCTGTCCTGGGGAAAAAAAACTGTCGCCACATTTTGAAGAGGCGGAGAAAATACAGCTACTTAAGATGTGTAAATATAGAAGTATGAATTTCTGCCTTTGTAGTAGGGAGCAGTGTCTGTCCCAGATCCCTGTTAAAGTGCCTAACTTATCTGATGTTCTCCTTTGCTTTGACTTTTCAAAATTTTGAAGAAAAACACTGAAAAGATGCAATTAAAAACGAATTTTGTTTTTACTGCTTTATTAGACAGTAGTCTTTACTGCTATTGCAAAACTTCGTAAAGAATAAGTGTTATCAAATTAGTTTAGTTCTTCAGTGTTATTCTGTCATCTTTATGACAGTCTGAAGGAGATAGACCTGTAGGCTCCCTGTTCCCTTGTTGAATGTGGAAGGTACACTGAGGAAAACATCAGAGAAGGGGTTAATTCTGAAAATTCGGAAGTCGTGCTCATATGTCTAAGTGTAATAAAGATACCTTAATGTCATGTTTTTTGTGTAAGTAAGAAGGTACTTTCAAGAAAAGTATCAGTGCAAGCTGTTAATAGGCTATGGAGCTCTTACTATTAACTTTTAAACTTTGCCTCTTAAAGATATTGGATATTTTGAAGTCATCTGTTGCTTCAACAGCGATGGCATGTAGTTGGAATAGGAGTGTTTTCAGGTGACCTGGAGATGAATAGCTTTTTGGTGTCCACATATTTTGTAGAGTTTAAATTACTAAAGAGAAAGCTGGCCAGAAGGATCAATGAGTTGTTCAGTCGTTCATTCTCTGTTGTGGTTGGGGACTAGTTCAGTGGGAACTCAGATGGGCTTTCACAAGCCTCCTGCCCACGTGGGCAGCTTCGTTCTGTTAGAATGTCGCTGTCATAATCCTACAGGAAAAATGTTCTGAGCAGCTAAGTCAGCTTATTGAGGACTCATGTAGACCTTGCATGACACTTGGAAGTTTCTCAGGAGTAAACACAAGAATCGGCAAGCCAATTGAACTTTGGTAGATGATTTGCTTCATGTTTTGTTGATACTGCACCTTTTCCTGGAATCCATTCTAAATTCTGATTGTTCTCTGAATGCAGTCTCCACAGAGCTGACCTGGTCAGACAGCAGTTCTAGCAGTTATTTTTTGTTATACTGCATCTATTTGGAGATGATCGCTAGTAGCAGTGGTATTTCAGCTGAGACTAGATACTCTGGCACTTTCATTCAAAAGAGCTCAAGTCTTTGTCCTGTTGTGCAGGATTTATCTACTTGCTCGGTTCTCTGAAGTGACTAGGCCGCAGGCTTTTGTGTGCAAGAGAAGGAATTCTGTTAATATTATGGATGATAGTGTTGACATTGGTTCAATCTGTTGTGTGGGTTTTTTTCTGAATTGAATGTGGTAGATCCATTAAAGCATAAAATAAGTAAAAAAAAAAAAAATTTCCAGATGGGACATAGTTGTTTTGAGTCTGCAGACAGCAGAAATCAACCCATCTAGCGAATACACAAACTTTTAAGTGCCTCTAGTTGAGGAAATTATCAGTAATATTTGTGCCTTTTGCTGAAGTTACCAAGCATATTGGCACTGCTAAGTAATTAAATATTTTTATTAATGATGTCGTATTAAAGAATGTTTATTTAAGCCCCAGGTGCTGGTGCTTAAATTTTGATGTGGAAGTGATTCACATACACTATATGATTTTGTAGATTAATATGTCATTGTGATTTGCAGGAAGTCATATTTAGAAATGACATATATTGACCTTGCTTTTATGAGTGATTACAGGAAGGTTATACAGAGAGCTTTGGTGATAAATCTTCTTTTCTTTTTTAATGTAGCCTCAAGTAATGATAAAAAAATTAATTTATACAGTTGTTTACTTTTCCAGGGGAAATTCAGCTCCTTTTCCAAGTAATTCTTTATCTAATACCTATGGAAGTGATATGTTAATAAAGTTAACATAGATTTAATAGAAAAACTACTTACAGATTTAAGGTAATTGGAAACTTCTTTCCAGACAAAATTGGTTTGTGCTGCTTTTTTTTTTTTTTTTTTTTTGAATTAACATAGAAGAGTGCTGTAAGCCGTGCTTGGTTTGGTTTATGTTTTTTCTAAAAGGGAGATGGGGAAGAAGACTCCTTTTACTGCATCAAAGACACATTGCAAGCAGCGAGTTTGTCTTCTCTGGAATCCTGGAAATAGAAGTAGCAGCAGGGGATTTCCTTGGGCCTCAGTTGAATGAGTAGGTTCAGGTCATCTGCAGAAAACTTTTGTCCTGCTCACCACAAAAAGGCAAACCCCTTGGAATATTCAGCAAGGCTGCAGCTCACTTCAGGATAAGCTTTTTTTTTTTTTTTTTTTAAAGGAATATGCAGGAAATGACACCTAACTTTATACTACAACTGGTTCTGCCAGTTCTATGAAAACATGCCTCTTAAAAGATGATTAAGGATTCAAATTAGGTCAGTCAGAGTGAACTCATAGGCCTGTATGTGTAATTTGAAAAGTAAAGTGTTCCCTCATAGGGAGGCAAATAAAAATAAAATACAAACTAATTTCTCAAAGGTCTCCGAGACCTCTGCAGCCCTTGTAAAACTGGAAGGTTCATTTTGGACAAAGGGAGCAGCAACATGAGGGTGGCATATCATCAAAAACCAGGAAATTGAAAACATCCGTATTCACTTGGAAAACAAATAAAACAATAGATACTGATGAAATTAGGCAAGTTACCACTACAGTTAGTGTATTTTATCCTGTAAGGATCTCTTGACAGCTTTGCACTAAGGGAGCTGAGGGACAATATTTCTAAGAGAAACATATAACTGGCAAAACTTGCCCGGAGGGAACTGGTCATATACGCTCCAGCCATAAAGCAAGAGAAGGCCCTAAAATAGAAGGTAGGAATCCTGACAGTCAGTTCTCTGCACAGCTCAGTAGGCAGCAAATAAGTACAGAAATACCCTTGAACATGCCAGTCATGCTTCATACATGCTGTAACTCTGTAAAAGGTTTTCTGAAACATTTCTAAGATAATGGTGAAGAGCATTTTAGCCTTTATAATTAAGAACTATGGGATGACTTGTTGGAAAATAAAACTTTAAATTCTTCTAAAATGATTTTTATAGTTTTCTTCTTCAGAACTAATATGTTTCTGTCCGGTTTGTCATTCAAGAAATTTGTGAACTCCTTAAGGGTAAAAGTATTTATAGTACAGTCTTCTGCACCTGCCCTGATCTATAATCCAAGGGTCTACTCAGATACCACACCAAATGCTAAGAAGCTCATGACCTAACTCATGACCTAAGATCTTAAAATAGCTCTTTTTTTTTGTTGTTTTTTTTTTTTTTTTTTGCTTGCATATAGCATAGAAGAGTGCTGTAAGCCGTGCTTGGTTTGGTTTATGTTTTTTCTAAAAGGGAGATGGGGAAGAAGACTCCTTTTACTGCATCAAAGACACATTGCAAGCAGCGAGTTTGTCTTCTCTGGAATCCTGGAAATAGAAGTAGCAGCAGGGGATTTCCTTGGGCCTCAGTTGAATGAGTAGGTTCAGGTCATCTGCAGAAAACTTTTGTCCTGCTCACCACAAAAAGGCAAACCCCTTGGAATATTCAGCAAGGCTGCAGCTCACTTCAGGATAAGCTTATGGCAGTAGGTTTTCCATGCATATTATTTTTCCCTTGGTAAGTGGTGGCACTTTGCAGAGGGCTGTTCTCCCTCAGTTACTACCCTTCTGTCCTTGTTCACAGCATTCTGCCAGAAACCTGGTCTTCCCTCCTGTCTGTTCCGGGATAGTGGGAGCCCTGAGATTATTTCTTCTTTTCAAAGAGGGCTTCTTCTAAATCGTCTTTCTCCTTCAGATTTGTCAAGGAACTGAATCACATACTGAATCTGCTACAAGGAAGCCCTGATAAACTGAAAAGAATACTAGATAGACCAACTAAATGATTCTTTTATTAACTGGTACTTACAATGTCTTTGCACACTGGCCCTGAATTTTTAAGAAGAAAAACAAGTATGAGAATACAAGAAATGGACATTCAAGTTTTTACAGAAGAGAACAGATGTAGTTACTTTTTTCCTTTTCAGTTTTTGATAGCTTTCTATTTGCCTTTGTGTCTTTCCTGTTAAAAAAAAAAAATAATAATTTCTGCCAATCTGGCTTTTTTCAATAGTGGATGGGGAGGGAGCGGGTGGGATAAATGTTTAGGCTTTGACTAGCCCAAAGGTAAAGAACTTCAGGCATCTACATCCTTCTCCACACAGCACTTGATCATTGTAGCACATCATTCATTCATTGGATTCCTGCTTGACAATTTCACCGTGTCCTTTTGTTGTTTGTTTAGTTGTCACTGCTGCTGAAGAATGGAGATCAACAGCTGAATTACTTTCAAAATGTGAATTTGATCATGCAGTCACATAATACAGCTGATGCCACACAGGGCTTTTACAAGTCCCTTCATTCTTTGAGAATGGTGATCTGTCATGCCTTTGTGTGTTCGTGAAAACAGCTTATGAAGTGCAGAGAAAATAATTGTTTCTGTAGACATATATGTCTGGATGTGTCACACAGCTTGCAGTTCTATTATTTACTGTGTTGACTGCTTCAATACTGAGTTAGTGATTTGTTTGTTTGTTTACTATTAAAGACTGAGGTGCAGAAAGGGAAAAAATAAAGAACTTCCTTGCTTCTTCTACATCTGCAATGGAACAAGAGTGCAAGGTTTTTTTATTTCTGCTTATTTCTCTGCAGTGAAACATCATAAAGTTCCAAGCCAGGCAAATGCTGGATGTTGGAACTAATGGTATGAGAGGCTGAGAACAGAGTGATAGGATGTGGGCTATGGATGCATTAAAACAGAAAAGGAATAATTTGGGTTTTAGCAGATACTTCAAATGAGAGGTCTCCAAAGACTTGCTTTTGTCTAAGAATATGCTTGCTTCCTTCCTTCTACGAAGGGTGAAAGAATTTTTAGTACTTACTTGGAACATCTAACGTCTTCCATTTAAACCAGACAAAAGCTGGATTTGGCATTTCTGATTCTAGAAATCTTCCACAAAAATAACCTGGCATTCTGTCATCTCTTTTCTGAGAAATGAGAATCGCAGAGAATTACAGAGTCACAGACTTCTCGTCTTACCTTTTGGGGTCTTTTTAGGCTTTGCTGTCGCATAAAAGGGCACAATCCAATTTGAAGGAAAAAAAGAAAAAAATCTAATCTGAAAAAGAGATTTTGTTGATGTGAATGGTTAGCTGAACTTCTAGCCTGACAGTGATGAAACATGTCAATCATCTTTCTTGAAATTTTAAATGCTGTAAATATTGGATAAAAAAAAAAGCATGGAAATGGAGTTGTTTCCCCTGGAGTAAGCAAAGATCTGAAAGCTACTGTTCTTCTGTCTTCATGTTTGTAGACTTTGTCTGGTGTTTCTGTAAAAAGAAAAAGAAATTTATACCAACTGTCCTAACGCAGATAACTGGAGGAGCAGGGTTTGTGGGTTCTCATCTTACTGACAAACTAATGATGGATGGCCATGAGGTTACAGTTGTGGACAACTTCTTTACGGGCAGGAAAAGAAATGTGGAGCACTGGATTGGTCATGAGAACTTCGAACTGATAAATCACGATGTCGTTGAGCCCCTGTACATTGAAGGTGAGTAATCTCTGCTTCGGTATCTGCACTTTGTGCTTTACCCTCGTGAGCATGTATGTCTGTGAAGAAATAAAATTTATGCAATGACTTCTGGATTGGTCCATCTAATACCTGTATTCTTTGTTTATTATTAGCCTAATTTCTTTGACCAGTGTGGGGTGAGAGGTTCAGAGCACTTTCGTCTTTGAAATGAGTTCTTCCATTCTGAGTGGACAGGAGGAAGGAAATCTTAAGAACTTCCTAATGTTACTGATTTTGTGAGAAGGCAAAGTCGCAATGGGTCAGTCTGTCTCTCCCATCCCTTGTCCCACATCCCTGTGCCTGCACAGGCTTATGCACACAGAGCCTGTGATCGTGAACGGAGAAGTTTAATTCAGGGCTGCAGTTACACTAGATGGCATACATCCTGCAACTGTGTATGGTCAGCTGAAAAGAGAATGAGCTCTTTCAGAGGGCAAGTCAGCTCACTGTCCCTAGTTGCCTCATGTGTTATCTGTGGAAAACATTCCTCCTACTTCAGGTACAAGCATTCCACAGCCTGTAGAATAGGAAAATGGCAGCACTGAATTTCCCCAGTTTTCAACAACAACAACCCAACCCAAACCAAAAAAACTAAACAAAGAAAGAAACAGAAAAAAATTATGCTTTGAAGAAGTTGAAGTAACTCAATGTCTAAACTATCATAAACATCAAATTATTATGCCAAATTGTAAAACAGCATTAACATATCCGTATTTGAGAGAGATGCATTTATAGACTTCTTTGGGAGTATATAATGATACAGTGAATCAATGAAAACGTTACTCAAATTACACTGCAGTTCTGGTGGGTTTGCTCCATCCCTTTAAAACTTTGTAGCAATGTAGTTCTTTCATTTTTTTTTTAAACAAAAGAAAACGAATCTGAGGTTGTATTTTTTTTGTTCTTGCTGAATTCTAGTGGATGGAATTTCATGGGGAAAATCTCTAGCAATTGCATCTCTCTTATTATTGCTTGTGATGAATTCCCGACAACACTACTGAAACAGTCCTGCAAACACATGCTCCTGCTCTGGACTGACAATGCACTGGTTCAGTTACTGCCTGTTATTTTACTTCAACCTTCTGCTTTCACTGACAGGATAATGGGACTAGGATCTTATTAATTGACTCCAGGTGCTGGTAGCTTATACCTCAGCCAGTTCAGTTTGTCAGCTTTCCTAATCTTTCCCCTGTGCTACCTTCTTTCTGACTGATTACGCTTGAGACCTTCTCAGATAATTATCATCATTGCTAATACCGTTGCCCAGTTACTAGGCACTAATGAATGAGAATTCTGAGATCCTTCAGCTACCTCTCCCATGTTCTATGTAATTAAGTCACCAATTCCCCATTTTGTACTGACAACAAATTACAACATGTTATTCAGTGGGCATTTTATTGAATGTTTTCTCATCCTCCAACTGCGTGAATTAAAGCTGTCATGGCTAAACGTTAAAATAAAAAATTAACTTTGATATACTGGTATGGAAACATGATAAAATTTAATGTCAGTGCAGAGTTTATATTCCAACATAGGAAAGGGGGGGGGGGGGAATGAGGCAATGAGGGGTAGTTATTGTAACAGATTAACAAGTTGATATATGGATTAATACTTGTTTTCTTGGTACCGGTTTGTCCTTTTTACTTGTAAATAGAAATTGGAATGACTGTGAAGTCATGACAAAAGAAGGTTCATATCTAAAGCGTTTGTTTATTTGCTGTCCTGTTTAAACGAGGTCATATAAGGATGTTTGACACAAATTCCAGAGAGAGTAATCAGTACTTTGTTTCTGAAAAAGACCTCATTTCTGATCTAGAAAGAACGTTTGCACTTCTGATATGGAAAGTTAGTTTAGTCTCAAGGTGCATAGCTTCATTAAATCTTTTGATGGTTTTTTTTTTTTTGTGCGTAGGCATCACTGTGAAGCTAAAATCTGCTTTGTCTAAGTCATTATCTTTGAACCATGACATGAAGTGGCACTCAGCTTTCTTGGATCTTGATCTGGGTTGGCCAGAAACAGGAATAAATCCCCTAAACACACACATTATTTCTCAGCTCCAGGATACCTATAGTTAACTGTAGTGCTGAATGACTTTCCTCCTCCTCCACTAGGATTTCCTTTGCTTTAGAATTTGGAGAAGATGTCAGTAGAAAACTCACAAGAACATAGCTTTCACTTAGGCTTTTTCAAGAAGAAAAGCAAAGGCCCTGAATTCTTTAATGGAATGAAAGTAGTTTAGGAATCTTGAAAGACAGAAAATAGTAAAAAAAAAAAAAATCTGAAAAGAAAATTTTCAAACTTTGCATAATAGGTTTTTTTTATTGTAGTTGAGTTCTGTGTTTTTAAAGTACTTGGGATTTTTAAAGATATTTTCATTTCAGCCTAACCTGTATGTTGAGTTTCAATCCACTTAAAAATGGAGCTTTTTGATACAGGAAGACAATTTTCTTTTCTGAAGGATGGTGTATAAAGAAAAGAATCTCATACTACTCTTTTCTGTATTAGTGGCAAAAAGTATAGAAATCCACCTTCGCTTATTTTCTGCCTCTCATCCTCTACATTCTTTAAGACTACAAGCACCCTAAGATGGTTACTTGAGAGCACTGTGGCTCATGTTCCTGCAAACCTTAGTGTAAAGACACACAGATATTAGTTGGAGAACAAATGAGAATGAATGCTTGATCTGGTGTTACTGTGATCTACCCCACTGCATGGTAATAGATAGAATTGCATTAAAAACTACCAAATGAAATTTTAGATTAAATAAACGTAGGGCAGAAGTAATGCACTTAGTTTGCGTAGTGACTTGAGGATTCATGCTGTCTTGTTTATACCCACCTTTGCATTGGAGTTGACTGTGTGGAAAAAAAAATTTTAAACACTTCTAAGCCACCGAAGTGTATTTATGCTGTGAATTATTGTTATACTTGAATATGGGGTGGGAGAACCAACAAAAACAAACAAATAAAAAAATTCCCTCAAAAACGCCTAAAAAAAATCCCAAACCATACGCTCCACCACAACCCCAAAAAAACACACAAATATAAGCCAATTTCAAGGTGACATCATACCACAACCTGGATTCCTAAAAAGCAAGTTATACCTCTCAGTCTTGAGGTCTGGTTATCAACTGCGATTAGGTGCGCACACCTTCTTGTCCACAGTAGCTACAGCAGTTGAATAAAACTGGAAGAAAATGTCAGACTGGTATGCACAGCCCCTGTCCTTCTCCCAGTGGTGTTTCTTCTTCCTACTTCTTCAGCAAGCTTTGGAAGCCTTAAAACAATTTTTTATAAGGTGATACATGCACATTCCCTTTACCCCCAGCTGTCTCTTGGATCTGAAAGATGTCGTCCTCAGCTGAGCTGTTTCCCAGTCCGCATAAACACATATAGGCTTTTGGTTTCTTTTTTGGTTGTTTGTAGGGGTTTTTGGTGGGTTGTTTTTTTTTGTTTGTTTTTACCACTCCTTTCACAAATTTGAAACAAAAAGAGGCCTGAAAATGCCACAGATTTCCAATGCTTTATCAACAGTGACTCAGTTGAACTGATTTCATTTCCCTAATCACAAACGCACAATATGTTTTGAATGCTTTATCATTATATCAAAAAATGACATAGCTTAAAGATCCTCTTCCCTTGGAAAGAAGTTTGCAATAGTCCTCAAGGGTTATGCTTTTTAGCGATTTTTCTTTTTCTTTGCAACTTAATTAGATCGCAGTGCCCACTTCGGTTTTGAACCGTAGGAGCACAGTTGCAGAGTAGGAATTTTGCTGATGACCTCCAACGCTTCGCTGCTTAAACAGGAGCTCTTGGTAAAATATTCATACAATACTTCTAAAATCACTGTCTGTGGCAGCTGAAGGTGAAATAGGTTATTTCTTTTTGCAAAATCAGGGTAGTGAAGAGTAGTTCCATTCTGATGCTTAAAGACAGACTTTTAAAACAAATGCAAGCATACTGCCTAACTAATGTAATACGAAGTAAGTGAGAAGAAAAGAGTTCATAAGTGGTAGGTAAGGAAGAACTATTTCATCACCTGCTTCCTGAGATGACTTGAAATAAATGATGTGAAGATCAGTTAAATAAAGCTGATTTTTTTTTTTTTTTAATTATTCTTGATACCAGCAATCTGATTCCTAGCAAAACATTTCTTAAATGTTGGCTCTGTTTTCAGTGACAGTTGTGAATGCAAAGGTAGTTTGGGTTCTATATTGGGCTCTTCTGACTTTCATTGAAGAGCTTTCAAAATGATAGAATAAAACCACATTTTTCAAGTTGAGACAAGTGATGTAAGCATGTGATGTACATAGTGACAGGGAGATTGGCTTTCAGAGTTTTCAGAAGGTATGAAGTTGTTAGTAACATGCACATAGGTATATAAAATAACAGTATTTATAGAACTTCAATAGAACATTGGCTTGACTGGGACTAAAAATGCTTTTGTTCTTAAGGACTTTGCTGGCTTGTGGGTCTGAGTTGACTTTAAGGCCAAAACCAACAGTCTCACAAAATCGGCCAAAAGAATAGGCTGTAGCCTTCTTGTGAATAACAGCCTTCCAGAAGTCAAGATGATAACATATTACTAAACGCAGCTCTGCCAGAGTTGTTCCATCTCCAAGTCATTTCACAAATAACTTAAGGCACATACAAATACAGCTTCTAATTTTTTATGTGAGTGCCTTCAATACATTGCCTTTTTTTTTTTTTTGCTTCAGGACTTCCATCTCAGATTTTTCTCCCCTAGTCTTCATTCCATCTGCCAGATACTTAATACATTCAACTTGATGGTTTTAAATTGAATAATTATGGAAAGTCATGACAAGGCAGAAGATAACATATGCTACTTAATTTTGTTTGTCCAGAACCAAGTGCAGTGGTGCCTGGGTCTCTGGTGAAGCTCTCCAAAACTCCTCCAGTACGAGCAATGTGGTAAACCTTTATAAAGTTATTCTAGTTTGCCTTAAGTTACAGGCAAC